ATATATATATATATGCTCTGCTTCTTGATGCCACCTTCCAGGGCACAGACTGGTCCTCTTCGTCCCTGCCCCAGGAAGCCACTGGGCCCCAGCATGGACCCCCCAAGCTGGCAGTCTGGGGTTCCCTGCCCAGGGTGGAGACGTGCATTCAGTAGAATCCTGGCCCAACCTGGAGATGGTTTTGGGAGTCTTGCTGGGGCTCAGCATCCCCAAGGACAGGTGCGGGGGCTCACAGCCTCATCCTGTGAAGTCAGGGCTCACCCCGTGCTGGTCCGAGGTCCCTGGAGGGGAGAAGGGGGTGGCAGTCCCAGGCACAGGGGTTTCTCAGAGGGGAGACGTTCAGCAACTGCCAAGTGCCGCCTGCCCAGTGAGGGCACACAGCCGAGTCCTGGCCTCCTGGCCAAGCTGGGGCCACACAGAAGGGAGTGTGGCGCCCAGCATGATCTCAGGCGTTTGGGAGGCTGAGGCAAGAGGGGTGTAAATTCAGGCCCAGCCTGGACAACGTAGCCATTTAGCAAGACCCCGCCTCAAAATAACAAAGGGTCGGGGATGTTGCTCGGTGCAGCGGCCCCAGGAGCTGGGGAGGGCGGGGGGGGCGGGCAAGCGCTCAAGCGAGGTCAGCTGCCCAGTGGCCCCTGGCGTCCGCAGCTACCCCGAGGTGAACTCCGGATGGCTCAGCTCCTCTGATGCTGGCCACTGTGCAGGGCCATGTTCCGCCTCGGGGCCCTGCGAGGGGGTTTCCTCCTGTCCTCGGGCCTGGAGAGAGGAAATGTAGAGTTGGGGTGGCTGTGACGGTGGGGTCTCTGGCGAGCGGCTGTGCTCACCCCACCGTCCCCCAAGTTCCAGCCTCTATCAAGCTCTGGGGGTGCAGGAACACAATTTCTCCCCAGGACCCTAGCTTTGACTCCTGCTCCTTGTCCCTCACATCATCCGTCTTAGGCTCCCCAGACCCACCCGGGGCTCATTTGGCAGGCTCATTTGGCAGCTCCCAGCAGCCTGCAGTGCCAGCACTTGGGAGGCCGAGGCAGAAAGACCACCATGAGCTCAAGGTCAATCTGAACTACACAGCAAGACCTCGTCTCAAAAAACCAAAATAATAAAAAGTTTTGGCCGGGCATAGTGGCACACGCCTGTCATCCCAGCACTTGGGAGGCTGAGGCAAAAGGATTGCTGCAAATTTGAGACCAGCCTGAGCTGCATAGTGAGATTCTTTCTCCAAAAGACAAAAAATCATAAGTAAATAAATAGATACATTTTTTATGGGGGTGAACAGGCCCTGGGCTTCAGCTGCTGGGGCTGAGGGGTACAGACCCTGCCCTGTCAAATGAACCACGCCTTCTCCCACCTGGCTCAGGCAGTGGCTCTCCATGGTGGAGCCTGGGGAGGAGCTGGCAAGAGGCTTGGGGTATCCGGGAGGGGTGACCACGGTGTCCTCAGGCACCCAGCTGCTCATCAGCGGCTGTAATGGAGGCAGAGTCAGGACAAGAGCTTGTGCAGGGGAGGCTAGCCCCAGCACCGTGGCAGGGTGGGGTGCTGCAGCATAGAGGGGGCCTGCAGTGGGGTCCTGGCCAGGTGGCTCTGTAGCAGCCGCCCTGGGTCCCGATCGCTGCCTTGGTGGCCTCTCCCTTGCGCCCTGGGCCCCGATCGCTGCCTTGGTGGCCTCTCCCTTGCGCCCTGGCCACCTTTAGCCTCGTCCTTAGCTTCCTGAGACAGCAGCTGCTTCCTGCACTGAGGGAGCTGAGGTCCCACCACCCTCTCCGGGGACCCGTGGAGTCTTTTGTCTTCACTGGCGCCAGGAAAGAAGGAGATGGCAGCCCTCCTTTCCTGTCTGGGCTCGGGGTCCAGGGGCAGCGAGGCAGGTGGGGCCCCTGCTTCCTGCCCCGATGTTGCGCCCCCTTCCTGTGCAGGAGTGGCTGGGAGCCCATCTGGGGAACAGGGCCCAGGGTCCCCCAAGTACCACCCTCACCCAGGTCCCAGAGAGTAGATGAGGCCAAGCCCCCGTCCTGCCTCCTGTGGGATCCTGCTGTGTGGCTCAGGCAGCACCATTCCCATTAGGAGCCTGTTTCCCCTTTTGCAAAAGCAGAGGCTAGCTGTCACTGGAGTCCCTGGGCTGCAGCCCTGGAAGGGTCTGCTGGGGCAGTCTTGGCCCCCAGGGCTCTCCTCCTTCCCTCTTCCTTGCTCCTTTCCCCTCTTCTTCCCGTCCACCTTTCTTTTTTGCAGCACGGGGAGGAGCAAACCCAGGGCCTTTGCACTGGCTCCAACCCAAGTTTTTAGTTTTTTACTATGAGACAGGGTCTCCCTGAGTCACTAAGGTGCCCAGGCTGGACTTGAACTTGGGGTCCTCCTGTCTCAGCCTCCCATAGTGCTGGGGTGACAGGTATGTGCCCCACACCTAGCCCGCAGAACACATTTCTAACAGCTTCCTGACCACTAGGTGCTGCAGGGTGACAAGTTTACAGAGAACTGAGAAAAAGGCTGAAAGAAAGAAAAAGAAAAAGAAAGCAATAAAAAGGCTAGAGCAGAGCACCTCAAAGCCCTCTTTGCTTCTCTGAGGGATAAGAGGGTGCCAGGCCCAGGAGTCCCCCCACCCCCATAAGCCTGGTGTGGTGGCTGGTGGGTGACAATGTGTCCTGCCTGACTCCACTCAGGGCTCATCGAAGCTTCGGCCAGGAGGGGATAAGCCCTGCCTTTGGAGGATGGGAGGGGACGGTGGCAGCTGGGACCCGAGCGGGGCCCTTACCATGGCCGGGAGGTGGACCTTCTTGTCCCTCTGTGTCCCCGAGGCCAGCAGAGCTGAAAGACACCCAGTAGGACATGGGTGAAGCTGAACAGCCTTCCCAGTGCGTGGTCCTCGCCTGGGCCGCAGGGCTCAGCTCGGGGACCCCGTGAGCTGCCGGTCGCAGCACCCATCCAGGAACCACGGCCCAAGGCCCGGTGTCCACTCCCTGCCACCAGGAGGGGAGCACTCTTGGGGGACTGGGGGACCGTGGGGCTTTGCTCTGGCTACTGAGAGCGGCCACAGCACGCAGGCCAGGGCCGGAAGCTTCTGTGCCTGTTGTCAGTCAAGGGGTGTGCTGCTTTCCTCAGACGCAGCTTACGGGCCAGCGGCCAGGACGGGGCCTGGCCTCGGCATTTCATGTATTTTGTTTGCATTATGCTTTTTTTCCGAGACAGGGTCTTGCTACAGTCTAAACTTGCAACCCTCCTGCCTCCGTCTCCCGTACACTAGAATTACAGCCGCGCCTCCACCAGTCCCAGTGAGATGCTGCTTGGTGAGAGGACACATCTGTGGCTGCAGGGACCATGGTGGCTTTGGGACTGTGGGCAGGATGGTGATGGCCCTGGCTCCTGAGGGACCAGGGGATGTGGGGAGAGCTGACATTTCTCCTGGGGTCCCTCACAGGGACACTACCTTGCCCTTGCTACTGCAGAGCCCTGCAAGTTCAGGACAAGTAGCTGCGCTGCTCCGTGCCTGCTTCCTCCCTGGGAGGGTTTGAGGAGCATCTGCAGCCACAGAACTGTGGCAGCCCCCAGCAGCTCCGGGCGCCCTCACCTTGCTCATCCTTGTGGCCTGTGCCAGCCAGCTCGGGAGCTGCCAGCTGCCCACAGCCAGCAGCACCAAAACAAGCTCCCCAGGTGGCAGTGGTTCCAGCCCAGTGGGTGGGGGAGCCTCTGCAGGTCACAGACCATGCCTCACTGGGTACTTCTTTTGTGTATGTGTGTGGCTGGCTCAGCCCACCCTGGCGGTGGCCTGGTGTGGCATGTGGTGCCGGGGATGGAACCGCAATCCCTGTGCTTGCCTACATAGGCGCTTTATTCCGCTGAGCTAATCTCGTCAGCCTTGGCTATGTACTACTGAGACACAGTCTCACTGTGCTGCCCAGGCTGGGCTCAAACTCTTAGGTTCAAGGGATTATCCTGCCTCAGCCTCCTGAGTAGCTGGGACTGTGGGTCTGTACCTTCAGGCCTGGCTTTTATTAATAATTTTCTATTAACTGGGCATGATGGGAAATGCCTATGATCCCAGCACTCTGGGAGACTGAGGCAGAACTGCAAGCTAAAGTCACCCCAGGCAATGTGGTGACTTACTGAAACCTTTTATGCTGGGAATTTTTTTTTTCCAGGACGGGGGATTAACTTGGGCCCTTGCGCTTGCCAGGGAAGCGCTTATTCTACTGAGCCACTTCCTCAGCCCCACAACCTTTTGTGGAAATAAAAAATAAAAAATGTCTGGGGAAGCAGCTTACCTCTCCATTTCATGCTGACTCTGCTGAGCTGATAGTGGTTTGGATATGCTGAGTTAAATAAACT